ACACACACACACACACACACACACACACACACACACACATATATATATATAACTGATATATCGATGCATAACTATGCACCCTATGCAATCACCTTTCCAGCTGTGACTGCATACGTACACCCAATAGCACGAGTGAGGCATTCGCAATCAGTACTAAACACTCATTGTACCAGTTGGTGTCAGGTATGACGGGGCCTGCAGTAGCGCGCACATAACTGCTATGTAGGTACACAAACATCCGACGATCCAAATATTCATATACACACTCCAGTACCGTTCCTCCCTTCTGACTGTAACACTACGAAACACAATACCAAAGCAACACACGTGCCAGTGCATCACAGTGGTCGAGTAGATTGGTTTTAGAGTTAACAGCTGTTAGCCTAGACACACAACACACACACTACACTCACACAACAAACAAACGCCTTTATCTGGTATGTATGGTAAGGGTCGTTGAGTCACATGCCATAGACGGTCCAGCAATCTATTAAGAAAAAACCTATATTTGGAAATTACCTTGGTCCGAACGTTACAAGGACTCGCACGATAAACAGGATACCGATCTCTGGTATATATGATTGCATTCATCTCTGGCACATATGATCAGATTCATAGAGCCACATGCCACAGACGGCCCATCAATCTAATAACAGAAACCAATATTTAGAAATCACCATGGTCTATATATAGCCACATACTCTTGAAGACTCACATATGTATAACAGAATCCTATATTTGGAAATCATCATGGTCTATATATAGTCACATACTCTGAAGACTCACATGTGTGGCCCAGTTGCCTCGTACGTGCGCAAACTGCCGAACGCGACACATCTCATCGACATCTTTAGGTAATGGCGAATCTAAAAATAGAATCCGGAAACCCGTGCCAAAAAAGATCAATTAATCGCTTGTTATGTGTAAGATGGTGTACACAGTGACTTGAGTAAACTGTTCACACGTGCAACTCTCACTAACATGGAAAGATGTATACAGAATATATCGAGGGTTCCCATTGGAGGACATCCACTGGATAATGAAACGAGCACTGTCACCTTAGCAACGGGGACCGTCACCTAAGCAACTTATACTTTTACCTTAGCAACTGATATGTCATCAGTAACGAGGCAGGATATGCTGATGAATCCTATATAATGGGATTGAATGCAAAATTCAGCAATAATGATCACTGGATATCAAAAACGCGGCGCACATATACATCCACGCACATACATAAAAAAAGAAGCAATCACGCATATACACACACATACATCAACGAAGAAGCAACAACACACACACACACATTTATAAATGACGAAGAAACCACACACACACATACACACATAAACGAAGAAGCAACAACACACACACACGCATGCATAAACAAAGAAGCAACCACACACACATATATAGAAGCAACCACGTATACACAAAAGAAGAAATCACATATACACTCCCATACAGTGGTGCATACCGGTGTCCTGTGGAGCGCCAAGAAATGATGGGAAAGGCAGTCTTTTCGTTTTTTTAGTCGGGGTTCGTATTGATACTGCCGCCGCCTCGTTTTCTGGAAAAACGATATGGGTATATATATATATATGTATTTGAGTATGAATATGCTCAGTAGAGATTCGCTACGACGATAAATTCATTTATTTACTAACATATGTATATATAT